ACCCCAAACCAGCCAGGCACACCCTGCACCCTCCACATCCCCACGGAGCTGGAGCACCCAAGGGTGCTGGCAGCACTCCCCCCCTCAGCAGCTGGGGGTGCCAGCCCCCCGACTCACGCAGGTGAAGAGCAGGGCCCCCAGCGAGGCGTAGACGATGTCCACGATGCGGTTCCGGATGAAGATGCAGAGGATGGAGAAGAGCACGAGCACCACGAGGCAGATGATGAGCACGCCCCGGCACGAGGTGAAGTCGTACTTGGTCTGTGGGGAGGGGGATTGGGGGACAATTAAGAGAAATGGAAGAAGGAAAGATAAGTTTGAGGCGAAACCACTTGGAATTATTTTTTTTGCCTTATATAAAACAGCTTGTGTCCACAGCTTCAATGCTTTATAATATCATATACAATTCAATTTTGCCAAACAATTCCAATTTTAAAAGTGATTTGCTTGGAATACAATTAAATACAAACAGAAGCCATAGATGTTCACATTGCTTTTCCACATTAAAAAAAATAGGAAGCCAAATCAGAGGCAAGTCCTGAAATGAAATATTTTTATGGCTCATATCAAAATGTTGAAGTTAGAATTTTGCCAAACAATTCCAATTTTAAAAGTGATTTGCGTGGAATACAATTAAATACAAACAGAAGCCATGCTCACATTGCTTATCTACATTAAAAAAATAGCAAACCAAATCAGAGGTAAGTCCTGAAATATTTTTATGGCTCATATCAAAATGTCGAAGTTAGAATTTTGCCAAACAATTCCAATTTTAAAAGTGATTTGCTTGGAATACAATTAAATACAAACAGAAGCCATGCTCACATTGCTTTTCCACATTAAAAAAAAATAGGAAGCCAAATCAGAGGCAAGTCCTGAAATGAAATATTTTTATGGCTCATATCAAAATGTCGAAGTTAGAATTTTGCCAAACAATTCCAATTTTAAAAGTGATTTGCTTGGAATACAATTAAATACAAACAGAAGCCATGCTCACATTGCTTATCTACATTAAAAAAAATAGGAAGCCAAATCAGAGGCAAATCCTGAAATAAAATATTTTTATGGCTCATATCAAAATGTTGAAATTAGCTGTTCCAGAAGGGAGGGGACAAAAAGAAAATTCACACCAATTGACCAGACCCCAGTGTGGAGCCAAAGGCCCACGAGAGCAGATGGCACAGCCCCCCAGGAGCCCAGCAGGGAGCCCCCCGGGTGTGGTACCCCCAGTTTGGAGCCCCCCGGGCAGGAGCAGGGGCTGACCTGCAGGGAGAAGATGACGACGGTGAAGCAGACGACGACGGTGATGCCCACAGCCATGATGACGGCCTCGGTGTCGTAGAAGCTGGCGATCATCCCCACCATGTAGGACAGGCTGACAGTCAGGATGGACTGGCAAGGCAAGGGGGGGACACATCAGGCCTGTGTGCACAGCCTGGCACCCCCAAACACGCCATGGGACCCCTGGCTCAGCACCCACAAACCCACCCCACCAAGTGCCCCCACTGTGGCACCCCCAAAGCTTCCATGAGATCCTAAACCAGCACCCTTAACCCTCTGTGTGCTCCTGGCTCTGTACCCCCAAACCCACCCCACTGTGGCACCCCCAAACCTTCCATGACCCCCCAAACCAGCACCCTTAACCCCTCTGTGTGCTCCCGGGCTCAGCACCCACAAACCCCAGCACCGTTAACCCCCGCCACGCCGCGTCCCTGGCCCAGGAGCCCCCAGCTCCTCCCGGCCGTGCCCCCAGCCCACCAGGGACACGAGGTTCCAGGGGTGCTTGCGGCGGAAGTCTCCGCAGCAGCTGAGGACGATGAGGGAGATGAAGAACACGGCGTAGGACACGTAGTACGTCCACACGTTGCGCTGCACGAAGCCCCGCACGCCTTTGACGAAGGTGAAGACGGTCACGAAGGCGAAGGTGACGGTCAGCTGCAGCGTGAGCACCAGGAACACCTGGGGACGGGGGGGGCCGGGGTCACAGGGGGGCTCCCCCACGGTGGTCCGCAGCCCGCCCCGAGCCCCCCGTGTCCCACCTTGCGGATGAAGGCCTGCCGGATGCTCTTGTCGTCCCAGTGCGCCGACGGGAAGTCCTGGTTGTCATAGTAGGAGGGGGGCCCGTCCTCGTGGTAGGTGCTGTGCAGGGGGGCTGTGGGGAGGGGGGCACGCCGCTCAGGGGGGGTCGCAGGAGACATGGGGAGTGCCCCCCAAGGCCAGGTGTCACAGCTGGCACAACTCTGGGCAGTGTCACCCCTCCCAGGGTCACGGCCAGTGGGCAAACTCCCCCAAATCTGTGGGGCAGCAGCCACGGGGAGTGGGGCTCTGTGCCCCCCAAGGCCAGGTGTCACAGCTGGCACGGCTCTGGGCAGTGTCCCCCCTCCCAGGGTCCATTCCCAGTGGGCAAACTCCCCCAGATCTGTGGGGCAACAGCCATGGGAGCTCTGTGCCCCCCAAAACCAGGTGTCACAGCTGGCACAGCTCTGGGCAGTGTC